TATATATATATATATATATATCTTAAACTCTTTAATAATGGTGAGTTTAACTTCTAGCAACTTTTGTTAGTTAAAATTGCGAGCAACTTTTGTTGGAATATTCCCGCAGCCTAATTTGGACTAGCCATGAACTCTCGTGTGCCCCTCATGTTGTTCTACCGTGATAAACTTCAATTAATTAATGATTCATTTAAGATACATTTTCTGTTTGACTTTTATTATTTTTGTTCAATTTATTGGGTACGAGGTACGCTGATATGAATTAAAAGAAATTCAAACAAACATTTTATTTAAAATAAAAATAAAAATAAAAGCTGATTTTTTGCATCCAACCTTGCAATACTTGGGTAATAGCTTGTTTAGTCGAGCGTCAAAATTTAAAAACACTTTTTTCAATAGTACTTTTTGAAAGAAGTAATTTGTGTTTAGCCAATAAATTTGAAAAACATATCTGAACAATAACTAATGTTTGACTAAACTTTCAAAAAATATTTTAAAGTGTATTTTTCTCAAAAATATTTTTTAAAAAAGTGTCTTTGGGGATAAGCAACTTTTCTGTTCTTCTCCAAAACTACTTCTGCTACTATTCAAAAACATTTTTTTTTCTTGCAAAAGCTTGGCCAAACATTTTAACTTTAGAAAAAAAAGTATTTTTAACTTTGGAGAAGTTTGGCCAACCACACTATAAGTCTCATTGGAAAGTTGATGATTCAGGAACCAAACTCGAAACAAGATGACCAAAGCCATCCGACAAAAAAAGTCTTAAGGGTGCAGTATATTCAATTAGAGAGTTCAAAACCTAAATGTGGTCTTCTTGGACTCAAAAGACCGAAATAAGCAAAAAAGATTAAGTGACCAAACTATATAAAATGCGATTTTAAAGCGCGCTTTATTTTAACGTCCGTTTTGGACGTTAAGGTAAAGCGCGTTTTAAAACCGCATTTTATATAAAACGCTTTTACGAAATACGCTTTACTTATTTTGTGGGCCAACCAATAATTCTTCCAAGCTTAACTGACATAACAATAATTCAAATAGGTAAAACGCATTTTAAAAGGGAATTTTACCTCAAAAAATTCGACCCCCCCCCCCCCCCCCCC